AAAAAATAAAAACTAATTACCTTATATTTGTAATATAATATAAAATAGTATATATATACAAACAAAATCAGTTAAGTTGATATTGATGACCATGACTTCATGTCATACGTACAAGTTGAATTTATTAGCCCTTACTCTGATGAAAGGTAGATTCATTATCACTAATCTATTGGGGTTAGTTAGCGAATGCACTATATTTTTGTTAGTCCAAGCAACTATGGTAAACTAAATCCCAAATAATCTCCATTGTTGCATCATGCATGACATGGCTACTCTTTAAAAAATAATACTTGTAATTTATATAAATGTTGTGAACACCTTAATAGGCAAGGAATGGTGGACTAGAGAGGAAAAGAGATTTGTTTCCAAATGGTCAATGTCCAGTATTTTTGGGATAAGTATTTCTTATAAAATTTTCTAGTCCTATTGTGGATAATCTATTATGTTCTTCATGAATTGAAAGTAGATCACTTACAAGTTACAAATTGTTGCGGTGGATTAGTACGGGCTGTGGCCGCGGGCTGTATGGTTTTGAGGCTGTGTTATATATAGTTTTTGAAGCAACAAAACAACAATTTGAATGAAGGTTTAATTGGGGTACAGAGTTGTTTGGGATTGCAACACCTATTTTCTTGTTCAATTGTTTCGATTAAGTTTCAATTGAATGAAATGGTTTCATGCAATCATGTATTAGGATAGAGATTTTGTGGATTTAGGTTGGATAGATCTATTGAGATACTCTGTATTCTCTTTTGGATTTTTTTTAAAGGAGTTTGGTTTAAGGGTTCTATTGAAATGCATTTTATCTAAAATTATCATATGATCATACAAAAGGAGAAAAAAGAAGATACTAATATTTGGAGATTGGCCTCCTAGTTAGTGAATTGTAATATTTGCATGGTAGTATGGTGGAATGAGACTATTGTACTACCAAGTTATTTGTTCTCCTTGAAGCTGGTACAATAAGTGAGATTACCCAATTGTTGAAAAAAGCTCAAAAAGTAATTTTTCTACTCTTTGTAGTTTTGTTGTTACCTCTGTAATCATAAATTAGTGTCTATTGTGAATTATATTGGAAAGATGTTTAACTACTATATCTCAAGATCAGATTTAGCTATAATATTCATGTAGGTATTTAATTGTTAACCTTTAAACGCACTAATTAGATTAATCTATGGCGTAAATATAATTTATATTATAGGTTATGCTTCTTTGTTTTTGTGTAATGTGCTTATATAGCATGCCATTGATGTATTGTAACCTTCAATTATTAACATATCCTTGGTTTTATATATAAAAAAAAAA